ATTGTGGGAAGGTAGTCCTATTTCCCACCACTTGTCTGTCAGCTTGTCACACTGTGATGGCTTGTGAGTTGGCTGTGATGCTGGAAGCTATGCCACCAATATTTCAAATACCAGCAGGGCCACCCATGGTGGACAGGTTTCAGCGGAACTTTCAGACTAAGACTAGAAAGAAAGGCCTGACAATCTACTTGTGAAAATTAGCCGGTGAAAACTATGGGTCACAACAGAATATTGCTTGATATATTGCTGGAAGATGAGCCCCTTAGGTTGAAAGGCACTCGAAATACATAGTGGCCACAACAATGGACGTGAGCATACCAACGATTACGAAGTTGGGGCAGCATTTCATTCTGTTATGTATGGGTCGCCGTGAATCAGAGCTGATTTGACCACAGCTAACAACAACAATCCTATTTCACTGGCTCTGAGCTTGCTGTGTTTATGGTAATGTCTTCCATAAGCTCTTAGACAGAGGCTTGTTTTGCAAACATAATTAGCATGTTCCAGCAGGTAAAAATTTGGCTGAGCTTCTTATCTTCTCTCTCTTCCTGGGTTTGGCTGATCTGGTAGGGGCTCGATGGTAAGGCTGTTTGGGTAAGTAAGCTCCTTGGGGACAGGTGTCATGCGTCCTTTGCACCATCCCCCTTTGTGACAGGGACTGTTAATCGTCCCCTAGTTTTGGAGCTCCCTTCTCCCCTGGAGATAGACTCTGTAGTTGGGTACGTGACCACCTAGAAAGGACTGCATTCCCCAGCCTACCTTGCAGTTAGATTTGGTCACATGACTAATGAATAGGGTTGGGAACAAAAGCCATCTTGCCCTTAGAGAGAAGGAGCCTGCTTTCCTTTTCCTTTACCTTTCGCACTGGCTGGAATGCAGACATACTTTTGAGCCAGCTTGGGCCACAGGGAAGGAAGAGGGCAACAACATTGGGATCTTGGGGGAGAGCCTGGACCCTGATGATGTCTCCAAGCTCACTGCCATGTGCCTTGTTTAAGTCAGTGTTATATGCCTGACCCCAGCCATGGTCTTTTCATTCACCTCATATGCATGCAAAAGCTGGACAATGAAAAAGGAAGATAGAAGAATGGATGCATTTGAATTGTTGTGTTGGCAAAGAATATTGACTATAAACTGCCCGAAGAATGAACAAATCAGTCTTAGAAGAAATACAACCAGAACGCTCCTTAGAAGTGAGGATGGTGAGACTTCGGCTCACTGCCTTTGGGCACATCAGTAGAAAAGACCAATTGCTAGAAAAGGACATCATGGTTGGTAAAGCAGAGGGTCAGCAAAAATGAAGGAACCCTTCAGTGAGACGGATTGACACAACAGCTCCAACGATGGACTCAAACATTCCAACAATCATGAGGATGGGGCAGGCCCCGCGCAGTGTTTTGTTCTGTTGTACGTAAGGTTGCCATGAGTCGGAGCCGACTTGAGGGCAGCTAACAACAACAAGAACAAATTTCCAGTCACTCGTACACAGTGGAACTTGTGTACTAACTCACACCCATTAACATCTCCCTGGGTGGCTGTCACTGGGCCTAATGTGTCAAAGGCACCCAGTGTTCATTGAGTTACGTGGTTGAATGAGTCACCACCCCAGGTAAAGACGCAACTACTGCAGATTAACTTCCTTCCTTCTGCAGTTTGTGGCAGAATCTTAGAGTTAGAAAGAACTAACTCTAACTCATCTATTTAGTTTACCCTTTACTGACATGAGTTATTGACATGAATTTTGTTCTTGACAAGTCTAGCTCCTTGCCTTTTGATGTAGTACGTTGTTTACCGGTCTTAATTGTGACAAAGGTTTTCTTCCCAGCAAGCAGAAATCCACGACCCTTCAACCGCTACCCAGAGGTGCCTCAGAAGAAAGGCCTGGTGATCTACTTCTGACAAATCAGCCACTGAAAACCCTACAGGGCCCAGTTCTACTGACACGCTTGGGGCCACCATGACTCAACCGCAGCTGATGAAAAGCATTTGGTTTCACAGCTCTTCTGGTCGTCTCCTAGGAGAGCTTGGTGGTCAGGAGCTGAATTTTTGGAGTCAGAAAGTTTGAATCTTGACTCTGCCTCTTCTTGACTGTGTGACTTTAAGCGAGTTATCCAGACCCTTTGTCCTCATCTGTAAAATAGGGATAATAGAAGTGCCAACTGCTTAGGCTTGTGGGAAGGATTAAAAGAGAGATTCCATGAGAACCTTGTGGGGACAAAGATCTTAGAATGAAGGCAGAGAGTGGGATCCCTAACATTGCCAAGATTAGAGCCCCCCTCCACCAAAAAAACAAACAAAAAAAAAAACCCGTTTGTGTTTTGAGATGGTCCCCATGAAGAAGTTAGTATTTCTATGGAAAAGCAATTAGAATGTGTCACACAGCCCCACCCTAGACACTCCCAGGTGTGCATGTGTTTGTGTTCTTTGCTGGCTCACAGATAACAAATAGCCCAGTCATTACAGTCTCCTTCCCTGGCACCCACTCACCCACATCTTCCACCCACTCCGGTAGAACTTTTGTCTTCCCTGACAAATAATGTGACCGGAATCAGAGTGTTTCTAATGGAACCCATGACATACAGTAGGTGGGAAGATTCCGTGGGGGCCGTGCTAAATAAAATGTGTGCTAAAAAGGCTATTTTAAAAACCGTCTCGGAGTTTTGTAGGGCAGACTGTTGCTGCCATTTTTATTTTGCACTGCCTGTCACTCACGAGTATAAAGGAGGGAACCTTTATGCCTTTATGTGAAGTTCCAGTTAACCAAAGAACCAGTTGTCGACAAGTGGATTCTGACTCCTGGTGACCCCATGTGTGTCAAAGTAGAACTGTCCTCCATAGAGTTTTCGATGGCTGGTTTTTTAAAAGTAGATCACCAGGGCTTTCTTCCAAGATGCCCTTGGGTGAACTTGAACCTCCAACCTTTTGGTTAGCTGCTGAGTGAGTTAACCATCTGTGCCACCCAGGGACTCCACAGGTATGAAGCTGTGCACATTAATTGTGACACGTGAAACAAATGGCTTTGTCTTGGGCTGTTGGTGAAGAAGGACTCAGGCAGAAAAGTAAGCAGCACTGGGCCAGGACAGTTGTAGAAACTCTACTTTGTCATAAAAGAGTGTGAGCCCCGGAGGAACCACAGGCTTGTGTGCAACTTCTAGTTCTGGGTCTCTGAAGACTAACAGTCCTCTGGACGCCGGGGACTAAACTGGTTAGGTGTTTACATTTTCTGGCTCTCTGGTGGGCAAAGGCTAGAGGTAATTAAAGTGAGATCTGTGTGTAAATTAGAATTTTAAGTTAGCTTTCTGGAGATTGGAACATTTGGGAAAAAAGTCCAGAAATTGCTAAGTAAAAATGGGGGAAACCAACAGGAGAAAACTAGTGTGAACTGAGGACATTGAGGGCTCAGTGGTAGAATTCTCACCTTCCATGTGGGAGACCTGGGTTCGATTCCTGGCCAGTGCGTGCAACCAGCTCTCATCAGTCGGTGAAGGCTTGCCTATTGCTAGGATGCTGAACAGGTTTCAGTGGAGTTTCTAGACTAAGATGGACTAGGAAGAAAGGCTTGGCAATCTACTTCCCAAAATCAACGAATGAAAACCCTGTGGATCACAATGGTCCAATCTGTAACTGATCATGGGGATGGTGCAGGACCAGATAGTGTTTCATTCTGCTGTGCATGGGGTCGCCATGAGTCAGGAGCTGACTCAGTGGCAGCTAACAACAACAGTGTGAATTAGTGAAAAGTCTGCAGAGAGTAGAATTTTTTTGCAACGTGATGTTCCCTGTTACTGCCCAAGATGGTTGAGAGGCTGCCTGGACCCCAGGGCTTCCCATCCAGCTGGTGGCCTTGAAGTATCAGAATCACACTTTTGGAAAACCATTTGGTAGTGCACATCATGAGCCATAGAAGTATTTCATACCATCTGAAATTGTAATCTTCCTTCTGGGAATTGATCCTGGGGAAATCAATCTGCAAGGAGAGAAAGTGCCACATGCAGGGAAATGCCTCATTGCTTTTAATACCCGGTGTCTGGAAGCAACCTAAAAGACCCACAGGAAGGAAATGGTCATTTAAATTATGGAATAGTGGTTCAATAAGCTATTGTGTATTCCTTAAGATTATAATTCTGAATACCATGTAGAAACATGTAGCTATGTGAAATAAAGGTCTTTTACGATGTTGTTATTGTAGGCAGTTGCCATCCGTTTGGCTCCACCTCCTAGCCACCTTACGAATAGCAGAATGAAACGTTGCCCGATCCTGCACCATCTTCAAGGTTGTTGCTGTGTTTACGTCCATTATTTTGGCCACTGTGCCAATCCATCTCACCCAGGGCCTCCCTCGCCTTTGCTGACCCTCCGCTTTACCAACCATGATGTCCTTTTTTCTAGAGATTGGTCTTTCCTGATGTTGTGTCCAAAGCAAGCCCCAGGCTCGCCATCCTCACTTCTAAGGAGCATTCTGGTTGTATTTCTTCTAAGACTGATTTGTTCTAAGGCTGATATAAGTAAGTGAAAATAAGCATAACTTAAATGATTTATATATAAAATAAAGGCACATACATCTGGACAGGACCTGGAAGGAACCAGCAAAAAATGAGAACGGTTGATGACTTCTGTTCACAGCTGATGTACCTTATGGGCAACCACCACCCATCTGTTAGTGGAGACTTGTGGGTTGTAATGATGCTGAACGGATTTCAGTGGAGCTTCCAGACTGAGACGGAGTAGGAAGAAAGGTCTGGCAATCTACTTCCGAGAGTTAGTCAGTGAAAACCCTATGAATCACAACGGTCCAGTCAGCAGTCTATCATGGAGGTGGCACAGGACCGGTAGCATTTTGTTCCTTTGTACACGGGATTGCCATGCTGATTGGACCGTTGTGATCCATAGGGTTTTCATTGGCTGATTTTCGGAAGTAGATCACCAGGCATTTCTTACTAGTCTAGTCTTAGTTTGGAAGCTTTGCTAAAATCTGTTCAACATCACAGCAACATACAAGCCTCCACCGAGGGACAGGTAGGTGGTGGCTGCGCATGAGGTGCATTGGCCGGGAATTGAACCTGCGTCTCCCAGGTCTCCCCTAAAACAACGTTGCTAGTTATATTTTCAGTGAGAGCAGTGTTGGTGAATATATTCGATTATTTTCAAAATCTTGACTTAATGCTCTGGGATACCGTAATTTAAATGTCTGGTTTTAACTCACTTATGCTTGATTTCCATAGCTGAAAAATACATGTAGATCCAAGTGGAAGTTGTTCATCGTTGGGGGTGCTGGCTAAATCACGTTGTTTGTTTTTCAGTCGCATCCAGGTATTAAGCAGAAGTTTTCGTTGAAATTCAGCTAGTAAATTTCCATTTCTCATGACGTCAGTCAGCTGTCCTTGCAGAGTCACCGAAAGAGCCTGCATTTTAATATTTTTAACAAATGGGTTCAAAACCTGCTAAAACTCCTCATTGGGAAGATGTTTAAAAGGCTAGAAAAATCTATTTCCAAGTTTTTAATGTGTGCAGATACAAGTTTTTATAAATCAAATGACAGTGTGTTCAGCCTCAAGTCATTAATCATGGAAACATTTCCAAACACCCATTTTGAAAATGCCTCTCCAATGGTAGGTTTTTTTTTTGGGAAAGGGTTACTTTCTCATTCATCGTTAAAATGTCGTCTTTACCTTGAGGGAACAAATTTAGTGTGTTTGTTTTTTTTTCTGAAAATATGTGTTGGATGACATATACTCTTGATCGCAACTTGCCATCTAAGAATAAATCCTGAAATTTTGAATTGTTTTTAATGTGGTAAAAATAGATATATAACAAAACATTTGCCATTTCAGTGTTTTTTACTTGTACACGTCAGCGACATTAATTATGTCCACCATGTTATGAAATCATCACTTTACATTTTCACAATTTTTCATCGCCCTTAACAGAAGATCAGGATTTTTTTTTTTAGATAATGCCTAATTTATTTTTGAAGCCCTGGTGGTGCAGTGGTTAAAGCACTCAGCTGCTAACCACAAGGCTGGCAGTTTAAACACACCAGCCGCTTTGCGGGAGAAGGATGTGGCAGCCTGCTCCCATAAAGATTTACAGCCTTGGAAATGCTATGGGGCAGTTCCGCTGTGCTCTATAGGGTCGCTACGAGTCGGAATCGACTCGACAGCAGTGCGTTTTTGGGTTTGAATTTATTTTTAAATTCTTGACTCTCCTAAAGTTCTTTAACACAAGATAACCAGCAAACTTCTGGGTGTTTCAAGCGATTTAGGTCACTATCTATCCTATTAAAGAAGTATTATAAAGATGTGAAAAATTGGTAAACCAGTTGCTGTTGAGGTGATTCGGACTCATGGCAACCCCGTGTATGTCAGAATAGAACTGTGCTCCATAAAGTTTTCAATGGCTGATTTTTTGGAAGTAGATCACCAGGACTTTTTCCAACGCCCTCCTGGGTGGACTCAAACCTCCAACCCTTTGGTTAGCAGCCAAGTGCCTTAACGTGCGCCACCCAGGAACTCCATTTTAAATACCTTGGGTTTTACGATTGATACCCTGAAGCCTTTTGGGCCCTTGGCTGTAGTAACTTGCCAGAACCCATAGAGTGAAGGAAACTCACTTGTGCTCTCTCTCACCTCGCCCCCACAACCCTTTCTAATTCCAGGCAAAGCAGCCCTTCCATCAGGATCGACACCAGGATGGTTTTCCCCTGGAACAAGATTTTCATTGTAAGGAGTCATTTAGTTAAAGATATGCATGTACTGTAAATCTTTTGTTAATTGACTCACAAAATATGGTGCTTTGTGTGTTTCATCGTGGAAATAGTATCTAGCAAATTTCACAAGCATGTGAGAAGCCTGCATCCCGCCGCACAGCTAACCTCCCAAGCTGCCTACGTTTTCCTCACGTTTCTCTCTTCAAATCGACACCTCTGTCTTCACTACGTTTTCTAAAGAGATGTGCTACAAATAAATGCATTTAGTTTCTTGCAGATTGTTTTCTGTGCAGTAGTTCAGCTCTTTTTGGTGCAGCTGAAAGCGTGTTTCCCTAATGTGGCTTCTTCTCTTTTGCTGTTGAGTAAGAAATCTTAAATGGGAATCAAAATGTTTTATCATTGAATTTGGGGAAAATTTGTAAGGTACTTGGATAGTGTCTAGTATAATGTTAAATATCAGTGAAAACATTGCGTGTTCAATGTCTGTGTGTTTCATTTAAAATGTCTTCCTTAGTGGGGTGCCCTCCTACCATCTTTAGCTAGTAGCTCAAGGCACAATATATTCTTAGGGTGAGGGTCACTGTTCCTGATAGTGGATCTGCCCCCTTATTTCAGTACTTTTCCTGACGATTCCGTTTTATCTTGTCAGATCTGCATCTGATTGTCACAGTTTTTACAGCATATAGTGGCTGAAGACAGAAGCTCACAGCAGGCAGCAAAGCATCCACCCTGCCAAGTTTCGCTGTTCACTTGTACTTGCCTTCAGACTGGCATCCCCAGTGTTCATTCTTATTGCAAAAATCTGTAAGCCCCTTACCCATTTGATGAGAGCTAATTTTGTCAACTGGAGTCCCTGGGTAGTGTAAACGATCAGCATGCTCGACTCCTAACTAAAAGGTTGGAAGTTCGAGTCTACCAGACGCACCTTGGAAGAAAGGTCTGGTGATCGACTTCTGAAAAATCAGCCATTGAAAACCCTATGGAGCACAGTTCTGTTCTGACGCCCCTGCTGTTGCCATGAGTCAGAGTCGACTAGATGGCAACTGGTTTTCAGCTTTGTTAAACTTGTATCGTATAATCTGTACAATCACTGCCTGGGTACACGTAAACACCATGTTCCCCTGTGGGCTGTGATCAAGTCCCAGGGTTGCCTCCTTCTGATTGTGGAGATATTCCACTCACTCAACCAAAAACCTTTGTCTGATCAGCCAAATGTTGTTTGATCCTGCACCATCTTCAAGATTATTGGTATGCTGGAGTCCATTGTTTTGGCCACTGTGTATTTTAAGTACCTTTGAACATAGGGGTTCATCTCCTAACACTATATTGGACAGTTTTTTGTTGTGATTCATCAGATTTTCTTTTTTAAAATTTTATTTATTTTGTTGTTGAGAATATACACAGCAAAACATGCACCAGTTCAACAGTCTCAGCATGTACTATCTTGTTGTTGTTAGGTGCCATCCAGTAGGTGCCGACTTCTAGTGACCCTATGTACAAATTGAAACACTGCCTGATCCTGTGCCATCCTCATAATCGTTGCTATGTTTGAGCCCATTGCTGCAGCGATTATGTCAGTCCATCTCATTGAGGGTCTTCTTTTTTGCTGACCTTCTACTTTACCAAGCATGATGTCCTTCTCCAGGGACTGGTCCCTTCTGATAACACGTCCAAAGTATGTGAGAGGAAGTTTCACCATCCTCACTTCTAAGGAGCATTCTGGCTATACTTCTTCCAATACAGATTTGTTTGTTCTTCTGGCAGGCCATGGTATATTCAATATTCTTCGCCAACACCATAATTCAAAGGCATCAATTCTTTTCTGGTCTTACTTATTCACTGCCCAGCATTCACATGCATATGAGGAGATTGAAAATATCATGGCTTGGGTCAGGTGCACCTTAGTCCTCAAAGTGACATCTTTGCTTTTTAACGCTTTAAAGAGGTCTTTTTTTTTTTTTAAATTGTACTTTACATGAAGGTTTACTGAGCTAACTAGTTGCTCATTAAACAATTAATACACATCGTTTTGTGACATTGGTTGCCCTCCCCTTCTCGACTTTGGGTTCCCTATTACCAGCTTTCCTGTCCCCTCCTGCGTTCTCATCCTTGCCCCTGGGCTGGTGTGCCCCTTTAGTCTCGTTTTGTTTTATGGGCCTGTCTAATCTTTGGCTGAAGGGTGAACCTCGGGAGTGACTTCATTACTGAGCTAAAAGGGTGTCCGGGGCCATACTCTGGGGTTTCTCCAGTCTCTATCAGGTCTTTTTTTGTGAGTTAGAATTTTGTTCTACATGTTTCTCCAGCTCTGTCCAGGACCCTCTATTGCAATCCCTGTCAGAGCAGTCAGTGATGGTAGCTGGGCACCACCTAGTTGTGCTGGATTCAGTCTGGTGGAGGCTGTGGTAGTTGTGGTCCATTACTCCTCTGGACTAATCTTTCCCTTGTGTCTTTGGTTTTTTTCATTCTCCCTTGCTCCAGACGGGGTGGGACCAGTGGACTATCTTAGATGGCTGCTCACAAGCTTTTAAGACCCCTGACGCTACTCACCCAAGTAGAATGTAGAACATTTTCTTTATAAACTGTGTTATGCCAGTTGAGCTAGATGTTCCCTGAGACCATGGTCCTCATAGTCCTCAGCCCAGTAATTTGGTTCCTCAGGGAGTTTGGATGTGTCTGCGGAGCTTCCATGACCTTGCCTTGGGCTAGTTGTGCTGGCTACCCCAGTATTGTGTACTGTTTTACCCTTCACCAAGCTTACCACTTATCTATTGTTTCTTTAGTGTTTTTCCCTCCCACCTGTCCCCTCCCTTCCCTGGTAATCATCAAAGATTGTTTCTTTGTGTGTAAACCTTTTCATGAGTTTTTATAGTAGTGGTCTCATACAGTATTTGTGATTGACTTATTTCACTCAGCATAAAGCCCTGTAGATTCATTTATGTGAGATGCTTCACGTATTCATCATTGTTCTTTGTTGATGAGTAGTATTCCATTGTGTGTATGTACCATAGTTATCCATTCATCTGTTGATGGGCACCTAGGTTGTTTCCATCTTTTTGCTATTGCGAACAATGCTGTAATGAACATGGGTGTGCATATGTTTATTCGTGTGACGGCTCTTATTTCTCTAGGATATATTCCTAGGAGTGGGATTGTTGGATCATATGGTATTTCCATTTCTAGCTTTTTAAGGAAGTGCCATATCGTTTTACAAAATGATTGTACCATATTGCGTTACCACCAGCAGTGTGCAAGAGCTTCAGTCTCCCCGCAGCTTCTCCAACATTTGTTATTTTCTGTTTTTTTTTTTTTTTTCATTAGTGCCAGTAATGCTGGGGTGAGATGGTATCTCATTGTGGTTTTGATTAAAGAGGTCTTTTGCCGCAGATCTGCCCAGTGCAGTATGTCCTTTGATTTCTTGACTGATGCTTCCATGGGCATTGATTTTGGATCCAAACAAAATTAAATCCTTGACAAATTTCAATCTTTTCTCTGTTTATCATGATGTTGCTTATTGGTCCAGTTGTAACGATTTTTGTGTTCTTTATGTTGAGGTGTGATCCATACTGAAGGCTGTAGTCTTTGATCTTCATCAGTAGGTGCTTCAAGTCTTCTTCACTTTCAACAAGCAAGGTTGTGTCATCTGCGTAACGCAGGTTGTTAATAAGTCTTCCTCCAATCCTGTTGTCGTGTTCTTCTTCATAAAGTCCAGCTTCTCAAATTATTTGCTCAGCATAAAGATTGAATAAGTATGGTGGAAGGATACAACCCTGACACTCACTTTTTCTGATTTTAAACCATGTACTATCCTCTTTTTCTGTTGGAATGACCGTGTCTTGGGTCATGTACAGGTTCCTCATGAGCACAATTAAGTATTCTGGAATTCCAGTTCTTCAAAATGTTATCCATAATTTTATGATCCTCACAGTTGAATGCCTTTGCATAGTCAATAAAACACAGGTAAACATCTTTCTGGTATTCTCTTCTTTCAGCCAGGGTCCATCTGACATCAGCAATGTATCCCTCCTTCCACATCCTCTGAGTCCAGCTTGAATTTCTCACACTTCCCTGTCGATATATTGCTACGATTTTTTAAAATTACCTTCAGCAAAATTTTACTTGCATGTGTTATTAATGATATTGTTTGATAATGTCCACATTTTATTGGATCACCTTTGTTTGGAATGGGCACGAATATGGATCTCTTCCAGTTGGTTGGCCAGGAAGCTGTCTTCCAAATTTCTTGGCATAGAGGAGCTCGTGATGCCGTGCTGTATCTGTTTGTTGAAATACCTCAATTGGTATTCCGTCAATTCCTAAAGCCTTGTTTTTCGCCAGTGCCTTCGGTGCAGCTTGGACTTCTTCCTTCGGTACTATTGGTTCTTGATCATATGCTACCTCCTGAATTGGTTGAATGTCAAATAGTTCTTTCTGGTACAGTGACTCTGTGTATTTCTTCCATTTTGTTTTGATGCTTCCAGCGTCGTTCAGTATTTTGCCCATAGAATCCTTCAGTATTGCAACTTGAGGCTTGAGTTTTTTTCTTTAGTTCTTTCAGCTTGAGAAATGCCAAGTGTGTTTTTCCCTTTCGGGAAAATAAACAACTGACAAACTGACAGATGAGTAGTGGATGTAGGTTTAGTGACACTGATTATATTCATTGAATGTTGCAACCATTCTTACTCTTCTTTTCTGAGTTGTTCCTCTACCATTAAATTAAATTTACTGCCCCCTTAGGTTCCTATCTAATCTTTTGAGTTGCTGTTGTCAATTGATCCCATATATATATATATATAGTTCTTAAAAGAGCATAATGCTCAAGGCCAACATTTTTTACTAGTTAAGCCAAACTATTGTTTGGTTTTAAGAATACTTCAGGGGATGTTTTTGGTTTAAGATTTGAAGATTATCTCAGGGCAATAGTTTCAGGGGTTCATCCACCTTCCATGGCTCCAGGAAGTCTGTAGTCCATGAGAATTTGAAATTCTGTTCTGCATTTTCCCTCTTTTGATCAGGATTCTTGTTTGGAATCTTTGATCAAAATATTCAGTAATGTAGCTGGGCACCCTCCAGTTCTTCTGGTCTCATGGCAAAGGAGGCAGTTGTTCATGGAGGCAGTTAGCCACACATTCCATATCCTTCTCCTGTTCCTCACTTTCCTTCTTCCCGTGTTGCTCCAGGTGAGTAGAGAGCAATTGTTGTACCTTGCATGACCTCTTGTGAGCTTTTAAGACCCCAGGCACTACACATCAAACTACAAGACAGAACAGAAGCACTAAATGTGTTATTAGGCTAAATAGGTGAGATGTCCCATGAAACCATGACCCTAAATCTCCAAACCTAGAAACCGAATCCCATGAGGTTTTTGGTTGTACATAAGCAGCCGCAGCAGCCACTGTTTTTTTTTCTTTTTTTTTTTTGTAAATGTATCTGTCACAACTTCTGCCAGTTTGCCTTTTTTTTACAGGTGTACAACTTTAGCGACAGCAATTACAATAATCGGCTGTGCAACCCTACTCTTAATGCAATATTTCCATCACTGTTAACTGCCCCCCCTTCACCTCTGTCCTGCCCCTGGTGACCGCTAATAAACTTTGTTCTCTATACATTTATCTTTTATTGTCTTTTTATATAAGTGAGGTCATACAATGTTTATCCTTTTGTGATTGACTTATTTCACTCAGCATAATATCTTCAAGCTCCATCCATACTGTAGCAAGTATCAAAACTTCTTTCTCCTACTGGCTTAGTAGTATTCCATTGTGGGTATGTACCGCATTTTGTTTGTCCATTCATCTTTTGAGGGCATTTAGGTTATTTCTACCTTTTGGCTACTGTGAGTAGTGCTACAGTGAACATTGGTGTACAAGTCTCTATTTGAACCTCTGCTTTCAAGGTCATAGGGTTTTCATTGGCTAATTTTTGGAAGTAGATTGCCAGGCCTTTCTTTTTAGTCTGTCTTAATCTGGAAGCTCTGTTAAAACCTGTCCACCATGGGTGACCCTGCTGATGTTTGAACTACTGGTGGCATAGCTTCCAGCATCACAGCAACATATAAGCCACAATAAACTGACAGACGGGGTGGTAGACCTCATATATATAAAGGTTTTTTTTTTTCTTTTTCTTTTCTTTTGCTTATATATGTAAAGGTAACCTACTAACTCTCTGAACCAAACTCATTACTGTTGAGCCGATTCCGACTCATAGCAACCCTATAGGATAGAGTAGAACTGGCCTGTAGGGTTTCTTAGGCTGTAATCTTTATGGAAGCAGACTGCCACATCTTTCTCCCGTGAAGTGACTGGTGTGTTTGAACCACCGATATTTTGGTTCGCAGCCCAGCACTTTACCAGTGTGCTACCAGGGCTCCTTGTTAACTGTCGAAAACCCACAGGTTCTGATTCTGAAGCCCAGTTGGGCCCGGGGTT